CCACCCCTATGCACGAATGGAGACTTGGGGCTACCACCACATACAAACACCATTCACGTGCGATGTGTAGTTTTGGCGAAAAAGTGAAATATAGGGACATACATGTCCATTTTTATATATATAGATATAGATATAGATTATTAAATTTTATAAATATTTATAAATATCATTACTTACGAGAAATCATTTCACTCTAAACAAAAATACAGAGGCGATTTGCATTTGGTAACTGTGCGAAGCGTTTTTAGAATCAGAATAAAATAAAGAAAACTTATTCAAACAATCGGAAGAAAAAAAAAACGTTGAAAGATGTCAATACAAATATAGCAAAGCGAAATTTATCGGACTGAAAATGGCGCCTGACAAGGAGTGTTTCAAAGTCACGTTTGCTGGCAAATACGATGGTAAAAAATGAACTGATTAGCCACAGACACGCATGTCACCATGCTTACTTTTAATTGCGATGCAACAGTTGCAACGTAATGGAAAGCTCTTCACCGAGTAACTTTTTCTATCACAATATCAATTGTATTCGTTGTGAAGTTTTTGTTACAATGTGTATTTATATTACATCGTGATCAACGACATATTTTCTCGGTCAAATCTTAATGCTTATTTCCTACGTTTAGATTAAAACTGTAAATTTGGTAAATATAAATTCATTGATTAAGACATCAAATAACCTTGTTACTTTTTTAAAACGAATATTGCATTTAGTTATCGTAAACGTTCTGATAGATTTTACAAGTTAAGCCACTCTACAACTAAAGCTTAAAATTTTTCAACTTTTAAGTTAAGTTTATACAGCAAGTAATTTAATATTTTCTTTTAGATTAATAAAAGCGAATTTTAAGAATTCTTTGATATTGAACTAAATTTTTCAAGAAAGTTCACTAAATTTTATAAACAGAAAACTGTATCAAGTTTTATAAATAACGTTACGTCATTGGCCGAACGTCATTCACGACAACAATTATACAACAACCAGCTTTTTCGTAATTGTTAACGAATCAACAATTCAAATTCCATTGTTCTTTGTTTGAATCAAGACGCCATTTTCGTATTCCTGGCATTTTCGAAGAAATAACGTAAGAAAAAGCCGGGAAATCGCATAATAATGATGGGAAGAGAAAAAGACAAAAAACACGATATTTTAATACAAGAAACAGAACATTCAAACAAAGAACAATGGACTTTTAAATTGCTTATTCGTACGTATGTAGGAATATACATATTAAGTCATCTCAATAATGTTCTCAATAATCTTAATAAGCCAACCCAAAACAGTCATCTCAATAAATGACAGTAATTCAAAGGAATTAAATTGCTACTCAGGAGTCAGGCAGGGATGTCCAAGCTCGATGGTTTTGTT